GGAAGGTGATGAACAAGTAGCCGGAGAACGTACCCAAGTGGAGTAATACCTGTGTTCGCTAGAAGACGGCTAACTAAAACTAATATTTCTTAGACCTCAGCAGTGCTCATATCATGGTTTCACCAGATACAACATCGCCCGTCAACTTCTCGCCGGCATCATATTATGTCGACTGTCTGCTGCACGTGAAGACTGCATGCGTGAGAACCAGGTTGTTTTCAGACCTGGTCGACATTTTATCGACCAGGTCTTCAGTCTTCGCCAAACTTTTGAGCACCGACATTCTTTTCGTAGACCCACCATCTCTGTCTTTCTTAACCCGAGAGCGGCCCTCGACTCGGTTGACCGCTCCAAACTCTGGTGCCGCCGTTACCTGAAGGGTATAAGTTTATCTTAATATTGCTATCCATTTATACCAAAAGCCGAAATCGAGCCCGAGCTTACGGCACTAGTTCGCAGGAGTTCACCACAGAAAGTGGTGTATGTATGAATCTAGAATGTGTACCAAAAACGTCATACAACAATATCTATAACAAACAAATCGGTACATGCATTGCTCGTGGATGGATTATAGCCAGTTTATTCGAATCAAAGTAGGTAAATTTGTTTGAGATGTTTATATTTGGAGCCTTCAGCTAAAGCCTTATCCGCAAGTCAGTGGGACGACGGATGAAAAACGTAATCCGTTGGGGGTCAGTGTCAAGGTAACCGGATTGTACGCCCTTTGAACATGGTCCAAGGTCCAAGGTGATAATACACCCCGATTCCCAATCGAGCCAATGGGCGGTGTCACGACTAAGAAAGTGTATATGGTTCTCGTGCTCCTTCATCATTTAGTTGGAATTAGGATTTTAGTTACATCACGTAGTTGAGCTGCCAATGCCTCACCGGCCGGTTATAGCCCCGGAGGTTGGATTTTCATCCTCTCACTTTGATCGGGAAACACTGCCACATGAATAGGGCTCCTTCAGCACAGACAGACTTCGGTTAATTCAAACATGAGGATGAAGGGGCCTTGTCTAAACCGACCAACAGTACAGTCTAGCTCACTGAACTGTTCTCTGGGACCTAATTGCATGGGGAAAGGTCGATAGCATATAGTCACGTGAGCACCTGTCGGTAATCTCGGTCAGTGCATCAGATTGAAGAACCTTGATTAACGCTTTTCGCTCTATGAAGTGGACGTGCGAAATGGATCATGTGTTACCGAGTCGATCAGAATGATTAATCAACCAGTCACAGATACGCGGATAACGCAACACTATCGGTATCGATTGGAAGATTGAGCTAGCTGCGCACTAAGGACAAGTGCGGTGCATACCATATCTTAACCTATTTGTGAAACCGCCGGTATTTATTTATTCCTGGATGTTAAAGACTGAGATCGCTCCGACGAAAAAACTACACGATGAAAGACGACACGACCGACAAACAACTGTCTGTCAAGCCATCAGCTCACTCATTAAAATGCAAACCCATGTGTGATAGTCTAACTTGGCATCTCGTCCGTCGCCTCACTTTTATTTGGATTTGTTTAGGATTTTTGTCCCTTGGTTCTTCTGTTACTTTTTTCGTGTCTTGGTAGAAGGTTTGTGAGTACAGTAGGAGGCATAATCAAGCGAGCTTACTGTCCAGAATTTGAAGTCTTTCTGTGATTAAAATCTTCACCTCGGTTTTTTTATTACTTGGCATCACATTACAAAGTAGAAACAAAGGATCCCATGGTCGCACAGATCAGTACTGTTGGAAATAACAAGCATAACCTCACAAGTTGGACACATTTTGATGACCACTACGCATTTGAAAGTAAAGGCAAACTATAGAGAATGGTTAGAGCTTTTACATACTTCTTCTTCATTATCATCATCGCACAGCGAAACACAGCAAAGCGAACTTTGTACATCACTGTCAAGGTTACAACACCCAAAGTACGATTGTGTAAAGTACATGGGGAATGTTTGCTTTGGTGGGGGGGAGGGAACCGAAACTCTATGATCCACAGAGTATACAGCATAACTGCTCGTACACGTTTTTCAACCACCTTGGTTGATAAGAAATGACAATGAGAACACTAGTGTTATCGGGCTGCCCTATAACCTTAATTCTCTCTGGTTACAGTCTTTCGAACTTCAACCTGAAAGACGAGAGACACGAAAACTGCCTATTTATTCATGCATTTCATTATGTCCAGTCCTGGTGTAATTTTCTCCAACCTGGAGTGGATCGGCATGAAATAAGAATGTACAATACGTCCTACACAACTGTAAGTGTCCGGTGATTGCTTTAGCCTATGTTACTCTGAGATAAGTTCATTACTTCTGTATTCGAGGCTTGTAATGAAGTCCTGTAATTTCTCTATATACACTTCCCTATATTTTTCTTCCTATGTAACATCGATTTGAGTGGTACCTAGGTAATTCTCGCAAACAGTTCTGTCACTCTTTTGGGGATGGACAGCAGTTTGGAGAGACTAATTCTGAGTCTCCGTTCCCCACATCTCATTCAACAGCGAAAGCAGCGGGTTGAGCAAGAGTAGTATGCAAGATTCTAATATCTCCAGTGGAACTGCGTCTTGATCGTTCCCAATTTTTTGGCTTACTAACCGCTAAGATAGTTAACTATGTATGGTTTACTGTTTTCTACGACTTCTTGGGGGCTGAACTGCCTAGTTATGGGATTCAGCAGCCGGCTTATACGTTCAAACATATCGGCAAATCTTTCTATTCTTAGGTTCTGCAGAAAGGTATTTATGGGCACTTTTTAGCCGAAGTAGAACGAGTGGTGCCGAAGGGCTTTTCGAAATCAACGGCATCTACAGTGGTCTCCTTTTTACCAGTCGTCCCTGACATTTTCAGGTCGGCCTCACTGAAGGGAGGGGCTACGCGTAGGTGGTCACATTTCCTTTGCTTTGTTATACAGTTGGAGTGTTTCTTCTGAGGTCCAATTGTGTCAATTTGCACGCTCCAACTATTCTAGCGCGGTTTCTTTAATGCTTGCTTTAATCATTGTGCACCACTCGGCCATTTTATTGACTCGCATATTCGTACGAAGCCTGATAACCAACGTGTTTTACATAATATATGCATTTTCGATGCTTTTGGAAAAGTGGTATTAATTCTAGTCACAAGATTATTTCGCTGGGCCTTCAAATGGATTTTGAGGCAGGAGTATGATCAGTACTAGCTACATTCTGTTTCCGTATCGCGATAAGCTAGACAATTTTCGATTGTAGAAACGCAGTTCAGTTCATTTTGCACAACCAATAACCACGCATATTCGTACGCCGGTTTTGGTTGCTGTCTTTTGGCTACCCATTTGGATGAAGAATAGGAGAAAGGCAGGAAAGTTGAAAGTAGAGTCGAACGGAAAATGGGGAATTTGAGTGGTCTAAGGTTGCAAAGAAATAGAGAAGATGCACGAACGTTATTGTTTACGACACCCAGCCATATCACTCAGTGTCTCTAACCATCAGCACGAGCGCCACTGTTTGCGACACCCAGCCATATCAATCAGTGTCTCTAACCATCAGTTACGATCATCCCGAGGTCCCCAGCCAGGGAGCCTAACAGGACCTATGTGACCCAGTCTCCTGGTAAGGGATTTCATACCTTTGTGCTAGGTTTTAGGCTGACCACCCTTGGCTTCATTCCATCCACTACCCGCCTCGGCAAACATCGCTTGCTGTGGCAACCTATCTGATGATGTGCGTAACACATGCCGCGATCTGCCATTTCATCCGTGATGCACCCACCGGGTGAGATGTGATTGCCCAGATAACAAAACTCATTTAATTGCTCCATGATTTCCCCGGTGGGATAAAAACACAATATAGTCAACAAAGGTCTTCACGGATTTTGAAGCTGTGCGTTGAAAACGATCAACTGGTTAGGGAGAAAATGCGATTAGACGCTCGATGGTCAAAACTAAGCCTTCCTATAATGTGACGGGTGTTGAGTTTTACAGATCTGGCGCGAGTACTACAACCCCCTGCAATAATAATATCGAGTTTACGTGTGTGATTGACAACGGCAGAATCAATCGGCAATGCTGTGGTGTAAATAGCGAGGACCAGATTGCCTCTGCAGTGTACCATCGTAATCCTGAGGGAGATGTGTTTACAGGCAATCAGTGCGCTGATAGCACAACGATTGAAAGCCAGAGTAGATCCATATTATCCGGAGTTGTCACGCGGATCAATGGGCTAACACATACACACATTCACAGGGACCAAATACAGGCTTACACTACCGTGTGGCATGTCTATAAACCAATGACGATCACCAAGGGTCAAATAAGAGCAAAATACCCGATGTTGACCACATCGGCAGGTTTTACCGTGTCTACTCCAACTATCCTGCGTTTATTGATCAACCGAAAACATCTGTGATGTTATGGCACATGCAAACGAAGTTGGACAGAAAACTGTACCAAAGGTTAACTGAGTCACTGAATAGAAAATTACAACGGACAGGAGAACGAACTAACCAACTAAATACCACAAAATCAGACTCATCCAAAATCCGCGAACTGTGAAAAATAGAACAATGGTGTCACTTTTTGTAACGCGCTATTGTGTGACCAATGGCAGACGGAGTGGACGCCATGAGCGCGGGGACCTACTGATCGTTCCAGGGAACCGACAACCTAAGCCAAAGGAATTGGAATGGTGAACCACAATAGGTCCCCACTAGTGTAAGCATGGTATTAAGTTGAGCTCCGTATTACCATCGTNCGTTCTTTTCTGAGTTCAATCTAGGTTTAACTTAAGTAGTTTGTTCCGAAAAAAACGAAAATACAAACGACAGAAACATTGGATTCATTATGAGAACAACTGAACACCATCCAGTGAACCAACACTAAAAGCCGCTTACCGTGACACAATCGAGATACGGTGAAATCAATGATAGTCACTTGGATACCCTCGGTAAAGACCGCGTAGCTTACGCCACCGACGCGATAGCGTAGTTTCCACTGTCTGGTGGGTCGGACCAATATGTTGTGCCAGTGTAAATCACGATGTTCAAATTGCAAAGCAGATTCAGCTGCAGCCAGGGATAGAGCAATCTGTTCAATCACAGAACGGGCCTCGCGACAAGTATTAAACTGAAAAGTTGAAAGAGTGAACAAACTGAAGGATTCAGATCAACCGAGCGAAATAATTTTGAGGTGGAAATCATAAGAGTAATTGTAATTGTAATTCATACGGGTCTGAGGCCGGACGGTGTGCCGAAGAAATGATTATGATAACAGAAAAACTCCATGATTTGCAAGTAGGCAGGATACTAACATGTTTCTCCGATCAAATCAGGTTTTTACTGCAGTGCCACAGTTTTGAACATTATCGTTTGGTCATTTTCGGAGGAAGTAAAGAAAAGCACTAAGCAACGCAAAAAGTAGGTGAATGGGGACACCATTTAGACGCACAAGTATCACCTTCATTAAGTTCTTCCCAGAACAGAGATAATAGACTTTACGCTTCTTTCCCTAAAACACTAAGAACTACTAAGCACCGTTCACTATTTCGGGGTTTATGAAGTGAAAGCAGCACCCGCAGCCGAAACAGTGTCGTTTCCCTTTGGGGTATTTCTATAGTTTCGACTTAATGCCTTTCGTCACCTTTCATTCCTGGCTCTGAGCTGCGCCCTAGACGGCACCGATTACTCTTTGAGAAACCGGAGAGCTAGCGAATAGAACCAGATTCAGCGTAGCTGATACGCTTAAAAGTGTTACAGTGAAGCATTACCTTGCCGTCTCACAGTTACCACTTTGTTGCACAAAGTCTAATGCCGGGAGGGATATCACTTTCGATCACATTCGAATAAGTCTTCTTTGAATCTTTGAGTAAAAGCTTAAAACATGGTCGAACACAGTGTAGTCAGACGTGGAACGCCTAAACCTAAACTCCATCTAAGTGATCCAGCCATGGAATCGTTAACAGATCAAACCTGCAATAAACGTAATACCAAAGGCCAACCATGGAAAGCTGTCATTCGAAGCATCGAACTGGTCGACTGATTCTGTAAAAGGAGATAACGGTAGGAAAGATTTAAAAAATGAGTACACGATCATCAAGCAGACTTCTCAGAATTTTTCTTTTGGGACTTGTTTTGTGAACACTGTAAGCCAGGATCAAGATCAATTCAACTAAGATCATTATTAACTCGATTTGATGATTCATGACTGGTATCTGTCCGAAACAAGTCTAATGAACTGAAAAATAGATTATGCCAACACGATAGCGTGGAAACTGAAAAGACGAGTTAAGTTTCAGTAAAAACAACCATGAGCATTCGTGCGGCATTTTTTTTATCATTCGGATCAGGGTATAGAGAAAAGGGTAGAATGTTCAAAGCACTGTGAAGGTGAAAAAAACAAGGAGTTCATGACGGTTAAGATTGCAAGGATATTCGGTAGATGCATAAGCGCCACTGTTTAGGACACTCAAGCATATCACAAAGTTTCTAACCAGCGGATTCGCTTATCCAGGAATCCTGACGCGACGTAAGCAAGTCTCCTGGTTAGGGTTTTCAGTCTGATGCTATGTCTTAGTTTGACCACCCTTGCCTTTTTCCACCCATTATCTGCCCCGGCGAACATCGCACGCCGTGGTAATGTTGAAATAAAACTATGGGGCACATAATCCACGGAGAGGCAGCACCACAGAACAGAGCGGTCGACTGAATCGACAGCCGCTTACGGATAAATAGAAGTGGTAGGTAGACGAAGGGAATGTCTGTGCTCCAGAATTTGGCGAAGAGGTCGATAAAAACTCGACCAGGTCTAAAACCAGCTTGATTACCACGCGTACACCGTTCACATGCGGCAGACACTCGATGGAGCGCTATGCCTGCGAGAAGTTAGGGGACAATATTGATCGAGGTAGTTCCTCCGTGATCTTCACAGGATGGCTTATCACCTTTCTTGAAAATTGGTAGGATGATCGAGCTGATCGAAACCGACGCGTCGCCTGACCTAACAACAAAATGCTTCGACAGAACCTCCCGCTTTATTTGTGACGGAATTTTGCCAAATGATCGGCAGAGCTAAAAAGCGATTTCTACCTTTTAATGCGATGGAAATTTTTGTGATAATCAACAAAGAGTACCGGACAGTTGTTTCGTTCTGTTTGGGACCCGTCAGTAGTGCGTACTTTTTGTGTCCCTGCCAGGGCTCGAACAGCGATTCTTCGGGTCGGGACTTCAAACCCTTATCCTTGAGCTACACGGTCGATGGTTATCACCTTGTCCGAATGGCCAGTGCTCTTTGTTGGTTATCACAAACATTTCCATCGCATTAAAATGCATACAGTGGGGAATTAACGATCTCCCAAAGAGTGAAACCCACATTGAACATCAACAGTGCCTGGTGACTGTGAAAAACCGAATGGGTTAATCCAAACATTCACCATCGATTTCTAACTTGTTGGGAATCATCAGCAGTATGAACTCAGTTTGAGAGTAAAAACCCCTAATAAGGAGCCGTTCGATCAAGGATCAGCAACTCCATTTCGTGAAAGCAATTTGCGATAAATTCGACCAGAATCCAACCTCAAATTCAAAATGTGAGGACTCACACGAATGTTTGCCAGCGGTTCGCCAGCAAACTCGAACTCGAGAACCATCCACTGTTGAGTAGGAGGAAGGAAATCGGGACACTCGTTATCGGAACCCATTTGTGCCTTGAATTTGCGCCAGCTAATTGCAAACGCCTCTGGAAGGGTTCCACAAACGAGGGTTGCTCTAAAATGGGTGAATATCTGGTCTAGCAAGAGGATTTGCATACTTTTTCATTTGAGCAAAATTAACTGAACGGTTGCGTCGATACTTATAAGCAAGCTCGCTTAGCTTTCTAAAATGACAGTCACATGAAACTACAGAGAACATACTTCGAGACAAACACTTCTGGGTATACATCAGCGAAGGTCATTTGTTTTTCGCCGTTGACGAAATCATCGCCGGCTACCGGGAATATCTTTATCACATGTCCTTTCGGAGACTGGAAGACTTCGCCATATACACCTTCACCGATTTTGTTGATGCCCTCAAGTGTCCTAAGGATAGATAAGGTAGATTCTCCTTTAACATTAACTTACTCTTCGTCAAAACACTCTTCAAACGGCTTTACTTCTGTTTGTCCACATAGTTCAAGCAATTTCTCCAAAGGATCTCCAACCATGGACTGATTCTATAAGAAATGAAAGTGATAAATAAAAGAAGGAATGTAGAGTTGACATGGAAACCAGCAGTCATAATAGTACGGTGGTAGTACACTGGAATTAGTCTATCAACGATACTCCTAATCAGCAGAATGAAACAACACTTTAATAAATTTCTGAACTGACTGCACGTAACAACTCGACTTCACAAGTGTAAGAGATTAACTTTGTCTCATATGGATATCACCTTAAAAATACAATGAAGTTACTCAAAAAGTGCGACGACTGAGTAGTAAAACAGACAGTTCTTCTGATATAAGTCGTTGATATCGGTATGTTAACCTACTGGATGTTAGGCTGGAACAAAACAAATCTTGGTAGTAAGTGGGATAGTGATCATCTGCTTCAACTTCCCAACTGGTACTTGGAGTGATTCGTCACAATCCAGCAAAACATTTGGATTTTAAAAAATGAACGGTAAAAAAAACACCATTTGGTTTTTGCTTTGTTCTGTTACC